ACCCCTGGCAGGGCCAGTGCTTTGGCGACTCCAGGATAGCCCCCCAGGGACCCCTGCTGTAGCGTGGGGAGAGGTCCCAAGGCACCAACTTCGGGGCCATCTCACCCACTACACCCTGTGTGCACAGAGTAGGACCAGGCCTTCTGTCTGCATGAATGGTGAGCTCCACTGCCGCCTGCCCCTGCTCCCAGCCCTGGCAAGACCCACCCATCAGCCTACCCCTCCCCTTACCCCCAGATGGGCCCCTTTGGCTCCCTCTCAGCCCCTGGGAGAACACACACTATCATGGGTTCCCTAGTGGATAATAACCCCGGTGGCTATCAGTGTAATAGACTGTCATTTGGCTATTAAAAATGGAGACTCCGATCTATATTTATTGACATTGAAAGATGCCTGTCATATTTTATTAAGTGAAAAAGATAAAAGGATTGTAAAACTCTGTGGGGTTCCATTTTTGTAAAATAAACCCAGCACTGAGTGAAGCAGAGGCACAAATATGAAAAGAAATTCCCCCACAATGTCAATAGGGACTGTAGGATTACATATGATTTTTTTCTTTTTTTTCTTTTTTTTTTTTTTTTTTTGCGGTACGCGGGCCTCTCACTGTTGTGGCCTCTCCCGTTGCGGAGCACAGGCTCCGGACACGCAGGCTTAGCAGCCATGGCTCACGGGCCCAGCCGCTCCGCGGCATGTGGGATCTTCCCGGACCGGGGCACGAACCCGTGTCCCCTGCATCGGCAGGCGGACTCTCAACCACTGCGCCACCAGGGAAGCCCTACATATGATTTTTTAAATTTATTTATTTGGCTCCGTCGGGTCTTAGTTGTGGCATGTGGGATCTAGTTCCCTGACCAGGAATTGAACCCAGGTCCCCTGCATTGGGTCTTAGCCACTGGACTACCAGGGAAGTCCCTAAAGATGACTTTTATTTCTTTTTCATACGTTTGGGTGTAGGCCAAATTTTTACACTGAGCACAAATTCCTTTTTAAAATACCTTTTTTACCCTTTCCACTCCAGTTTTATTGAGATGTAATTGACAGCATCACCGTGTAAGTTTAAGGTATACAGTGTAACGGTTTGGCTTACGAATATTGTGAAATGATTCCCATAAGTTTAGTTAACATCCATCATTTCATATAGATACAATAAAAAGAAAGAGCAGAACAATAATAAAAACTCAAAATACCCTTTTTTTCTAATTACCAAAGTTATCTGTTCTTTTTTTAAAAACTGACACATTGAAGTATACTCAAGTATATCGTCATTCTCATCATTTCACTGATACTGACAATGCAGCTTCCATATTTTGCCATGTGTACGTTAACATAGAGATAGGAGTTGTGCTTTTTGAAAATTTTAAACTTTTTTATTATAGAAAATTTCAAGCACAAACAAAAGTTGGAAAAAGGGCTTCCCTGGTGGCGCAGTGGTTGAGAGTCCGCCTGCCGATGCAGGGGACACGGGTTCGTGCCCCGGTCCGGGAAGATCCCACATGCCGCGGAGCGGCTGGGCCTGTGAACCATGGCCGCTGAGCCTGCGCGTCCGGAGCCTGTGCTCCGCAACGGGAGAGGCCACAACAGTGAGAGGCCCGCATATCACACACACACACACAAAAAAAGTTGGAAAAATAGTATAACAAATCCTTGTGTACCCACCATCCAGTTTCAATGGTTTTATGCATTTTATCAATCTTGTTTCAATTTATCCCCCCACTTTTTTTTTCTAGAGCCTTTGGCATCATTTCACCCCTAAATAATTTGGTACTTCAGCATTTGTCTCTAACCGATAAAGCCTTTTTTTTTTAACATAGATACTTTGCCATGATTGCAACTTGCACAAGTATATAGATATCATTAGGTTAAAAATCATATATATTTATGTGTACATGTACCTGTAATTAAAAGAGGACTATGTTATAGGCCCCTGAAGCTTATGAACGTGATGGTTTGCAACTTTCTTTTTCTCACCTGATTTAACTTGGACATCTTTCTGTGGCAGTATATCTTGATCCGTATTCATGTCTCCTGTAATCCTATAACAAACCAAAAAGCTGCTTCCTCTCTTGGCTTAAAAACCAAAAAGGGCAATTCAGTTAAAAAGTAAACAAAAACAATTCCGGGAGATGCAAATGTATTCCCCTCGTCTGGGGTGAATTTCCCTTCACTGGATTCTGTGCAGGTGAGGGATATGATACTCATGCATCCTTTTATTTATTCAAATATACAGTTGACCCTTGAACAACAGGTTTGAACTGCGCAGGTCCAGTTATACATGACTTTTTTCGATAGTAAATAGTACAGTACTATCTGTGTTTGGTTGAATCTGCAAATGTGGAACTGGGCATACAGAGGAACCGCAGATAAGGAGGGTGGACTATAAATTATACTGTACTTAGATTTTTTAAAGAGTGGAGGGTCGGCACCCCTAACCTCTGCATTGTTCAAAGGTCAACTGTATATCTTTTGGTGTCGTTGGGTCTTTGCTGCTGCACGCGGGCTTTCTCTAGTTGCGGCGAGCGGGAGCTACTCTTTGTTGCGGTGCACAGGCTTCTCATTGTGGTGGCTTCTCTTGTTGCGGAGCGTGGGCTCTAGGCGTGCAGGCTCAGTAGTTGTGGCGCACGGGCTTAGTTGCTCCACGGCATGTGGGATCTTCCCGGACCAGGGCTTGAACCCGGGCTTGAACCCGGGCTTGAACCCGTGTCCCCTGCGTTGGCAGGAGGATTCTAAACCACTGTGCCACCAGGTTAAGTCCCCTGTATATCATTTTTGAGTGCTTTGTATGTGCAGGCGCTGATCCAGGTGCTGGGAATATGGCCCTCGTGGAGCTAACTTTCTAATGGGGGACATGAAGGTATAGACAAAGTAAATAAGGTCTAAGCAGTGTGTCAGATGGTGATAAGTGGTGGATAGAGAATAAAGCAAGGAAGATGAGTGGTGAAGCAGGCGCTATTTTACTCGCGGGGCGGGGGCGGTCAGGGAAGGCCTCACTGAGAAGGTGACCTTGCAGCAAAGAGCTGAAGGAGATGAGGAAGGAGCCATGTGGATATCTGGGGGAGAGTGTTGCAGACAGCATGGCACGTGCAAAGGTCCTGAGATGGGACTTGACTGCCTCCCCAACCGCTCTGGGTGTGTCCTTCAGTGAGCGGCAGCACCCGGACCATCACCCTGCCCGACCTTCACTGGGGTACCTGTGAGCTGTGGGTGACCGCGTCCACCATCGCAGGACAGGGCCCACCGGGTCCAAGCCTCCGCTTTCACCTACCAGGTATGGGCCTGGGGCAGGACTGCCATGGGAGGGGTCCCGGAGGGAGGGGCATTGGAGGGGGTTATATAATCATTACTGAACTTCAGGGGGTGGACATTTAGACTTCGGGATGTTGATGATGCATTTTGATGCTGCTAAATACTGCTGTGGATTATCAAGCAATGTGTGTCTCCGACCCTTTCACCCCATCCCTGACCTTGACCTTTTCACAAGCCCCACTCCCACCCCAAGATTTCCCCCACCCTTAGCCCCTACCCATTCATAGGCCCTGCCCTTTTATCCACCTCCCTTACCTATTCCCAGCTCCACCCATGAGCCTTACCTGACCCCTCCCCACCTCCCTGGTGTCCAGATGTTCTTCTGCCCCTCCCCCCTCCCTCCAGATAACACCCTGAAATGGAAAGTTCTGCCAGTTGTCCTTCTCGTATGGGGTTTGCTCCTGACGGGCTGTGGCGTGAGCCTAGCTACCTCCGGAAGGTGAGGCTGTCAGACACATGGGTCTCTGCCCAGGTTGGGAGGGCAGCTGGACGTTAGCTGAGCTTGGGGAGAGATGTGGTAAGGGGATGATGCTTCAGGGCTCTGTGACGTTCCTGGACCCTACGATCTGGACATGGGTGTCTAGCCGCCTGGATTCCCTGCCCTGACTCTTACCTGCTTGCCAGGTGTGTCCACCTGCGGCACAAGGTACTACCCCACTGGGTCTGGGAGAAGGTTCCTGATCCTGCCAACAGTAATTTCAGCCTGCCCCACATGAAGGTGAGCAGAAAGCTGGGCTTATCAGGGCCCTCTGGGGGATTGGGGAAACCTCGGACAGTGGGGCGTAGGTGAGAATTGGCGGGTATGAGGGGAGGAATCTCAGCCTCTTCTCTTCCCAGGAGGTGCCCCAGGCCCAGCCCCCTGGGGACTTGCCCATCCTGGAAGTGGAGGAGATAGAGCAGGTACCGATTATGGAGGCCCCCCAGGCCTCAGCCCCACTGGACTCTGGATATGAGAAACACTTCCTGCCCACACCCGAGGAGCTGGGCTTTCTGGGCCACACCCCAGGTTCCAGGTTATGGACTGAACCAACCCCAGGAGGGGAGAGGGGTGCTCATTTGACAGATGAAGACACTGAGGCTCAAAGAAGCTGAGTCACTTACTTGAGGACACCCAGCCAAGGAAGAGCTGAGATTGAAGGACCCCTACAGAAAAGGGCCTGGCCCTACAGGGAATATACGGATGGATGAGGGAGCAAAGAAAAATATATAAAATCCAGAGTGTCAGCTGCCTTCCCAAATCTGTCCTGCTGCTATAACAGAACTGTAGTTGGGTACACTCCCAGCCTCCCTTGCAGCTAGGTGCAGCCATGGACTGAGTTCTTATGAGTGGAACATAAGCAGAAGTGACATGTGCCTACAGTGGGTCTGCGTGGGGGCTCTTCCACATTCCCTTCCCTTTCCCATGAGCTGGAGCATTGGTGTGCCCTGTGATCCAGCTTTGGCCATACCCAAGGTGAAGGTGGAGCAAGAAATGGAAAGGAACCAGAGCTCCTGAGTGATGGCATGGATCAGAACTGCCCAGAGAAATAAATTCTTTCTGTTTTGATAGCTACTGTAGCTTGAGGTCTTTTTGTTACAGCAGCCATATCTACACTCTCACTGATTCAAAACCTTTGATTCTAGCAGAGTGAAGCCCTCCACTTCCCACCAGGAGACGGTGAGGTGGCTCTGTGGCAACAACACACACACTCACACTGTCCAGATGCTCAACATTTTATTTTCAAGTATAAAGGCTTTGTCACAGAAAGGGGCCAGGGTCACGGGCAGTGTGCAAGGGGTCCAGGAGCCCAGGTGGAGATGGACATGTGGACCAGCTGGCTCCCAGGTGCCACCACCAGTCCCGTGGTGCCCTGTCTGCGCCTGGGACCATCTGCTGATGCCAAGAGGCCGAGGTAGCTGTGAGAGGAGCTGGGAGTGGGGTAGAGGGCGTGGGCTCACATAACCGCACAACACTGGCACGTCTTCTGCTTAGGGCCACTCGCCTCTTCGCCCTCAGGAGGGGCAGATGGCTCCGGCTGCTGGGCAGGCGCGTAGGTGGGCACAGCGTGGGCACTGGGGTTGGCCCTGGGCTCCTCCACCTGAAGCAGTGGCTGGCACTCAGCAGGCTGCTCCTGAGCTGGGGTCTCTGCCAGGAGGGGTGTGGCATCCCCAGAGGGGTCCTGGCCCTCATCAGAGGTTTGGGGCTTCACTGCTTCTGCTTCTGGGGAGCCTTCCTGCTTCTCCTGGGGCTGCTGTCCTTCTTCCTCCGGCCTTGGCTCCTCCTTGGCCCCCAGGGGAGCCACTTCCTCACTCACTTCCTCTGCCTGACACTCCTTTCCTCCTCCTGACTCTCTCTGCTCTTCCGGACTCAGATCTCCCTCGACCCCTTGAGTCTTCTCTGTCTGCAATGGCTCTTCACCTGCCATTCTCTCTGCCTTCTGTGATTCCTCATCTCCTTTTGTCTCTGCCTCCGACGGCTGCTCACCGCCCGTTCTCTGTACCTTCAGTGATTCATCTCCTTTTTTCTCTGCCTCCGACGGCTGCTCACCGCCCGTTCTCTGTACCTTCAGTGA